GGCCACATAAACAGAGACTTCATCAGTCTGAGACCAGAAGAACTAGATGGTGCCCGGCTACCACCAATGACTGCCCCGATAGGGAACACAACAGAGAGTCCCTGATGGAGCAGGAGAAAAGTGGGGTGCAGAACTCAAATCCTAGTAAAAAGACCAGACTTAATGGTCTGACTGAGACTGGATGAACCCCAGAAAGCATGGCCCCCAGACTTTCTGTCAACCCAGAACTAAAACCATTCCTGAGGCCAACTCTTCAGACAAAGATTAGACTGGACTGTGGAACATAAAACGATACTCTTGAAGAGTGTTCTTCTTAGCTCAAGTAGCTACATGAGACTAAATGGGTGGCTCCTGTCTGGAGGTGAGATGAGAAGGCAGAGAGGGTCAGGAGCTGGTTGAACAGACACAGGAAATCCGGGGTGGAAAGGAAGAGTGTGCTGTCACAGTATAGGGAGAGCAAATAGGGTCACATAACAATGTGTGTATAAATTTTTGTAGGAGAGACTAACTTGAATTGTAAACTTTCACTTAAAGTATAACAATAAAATAAAAAAGAAATTCCAGATTCCCAGAAGGAAAGTAGGTGTTCATCACAAACCACATTGTTTATACAAATAGTTTAGGCACAGTGAGCCATTCTTATCAGTGCTAGGAATGGTGGGAATACTGGTTGCATTTAAGTTCCCAGATGTCAGCCAAGGGTCAGACTTGCAAGAAGGCCTTTCTAAGGAGCAGTCTCAAGACTTTTTTCTTTTCTGCACAGTCACTCTGCCTCACTGAAAACTTTAGCACCAGCTCCCTGTACACTACAGCTCTTGCCATCATTCTGCATTACTTCTACTTCCATGTAGAAGAGCCGCTCAACACCATGGCCCTTTCTATTTCTTGAATCAACAATTCTTTCCTTATCATCTGTCATAGATTGAATTATGTCCCCCAAAAATATCTGTCAACTTGGCTAGGTCATGATTCCCAGTATTCTATGATTGTCTATCATTTTGTCATCTGATGTGACCTCCTATGTGTTGTAAATCCTATTACTATGATGTAATGAGATGGAATAGTAGCAGTTATATTGATGAGATCTACAAGATTAGATAGTGTCTTAAGCCAATCTCTTTTGCGATATAAAAGACAGAAGTGAGCAGAGAGACATGAGGACCTCATACCACCAAGAATGTAGTGCCGGGAGCAGAGCACATCCTTTCGACCCAGGGTTCCTGTGGGCAGAAGCTCTTAGATTGATGACAAAGACCTTCCTCCAGAGCCGACAGAGAAAGCCCTCCCCTGAAGCTGACGCCCTGAATTTGGACTTCTAGCCTACTAGACTGTGAGCGAATAAATTTCTCTTTGTTGAAGCTATCCATTTGTGGTATTTCTGTACAGCAGCACCTGATGACTAAGACATCATCCATCCATACCTTAGACCTTGCCATCACTATACATCACCAACATCTCTATTGAAAACATTCAACCCTCTGAGCATCATTTCCTCTCCTTTCAGCATACTCTCCATAGTACTTCCACTCCAGTATTTTCCAAACTCATTTACACTGGCTTCCATTTCCATTCACCAAATATGGTCTTCTCCAATACCACCACTTCTCAGATAATGGAATCATCAGCCATCCAGTTCCTCAGGCCAAAAGTCTAAATGTAAATCTTGATCCTTCTCTTCCCTCATGTTCCATATCAATTCATCAGTAAGCCCGACTGGCCCATCTCCAGATATATTTTGAATGTAACTTCTTTTCATTTCACTTCTACAACCCTAGGCTAAGCTACCATGATCTCTTGCCTTTGACTATTGCCATAGACTCCTAACTAACCTCCCTGCACCTATTCTTGCTCCTTCACAGTCCATCTTCCATAGAGTAGCTACAGTGATTATTTTTTTAATAATTTATTTTTTGTTGTTGTTGTTGAGAGTATACACAGCAGGACATACACCAATTCAACATTTTCTACAGGTACAATTCAGTAATATTGATTACACCCTTCGAGTTGTGCAACAATTCTCATCCTCTTTTTCTGAGTTGTTCCTCCCACATTAACATAAATTCACTGTCCCTTAAGGTTCCTATTTAATCTTTGCATTTGCTGTTGTCAATTTGATCCCATAACGATATATCTTAAAAGAGCACAATGCTCAAGACAGACATTCTTTACTAGTTAACCCAATGTATTGTTTAGTTTTAAGAAGACTTCAGGGGATATTTTTGGTTTAAGGTTTAAAAATTATATCAGGACAATATTTTCAGGGGTTTATCCAGCCTTCATGGCTCTAGAAAGTCTGGAGTCCATGAGAACTTGAAATTCTGTCCTGCATTTCCCCTCTTTTGATCAGGATTCTTCTATAGAATCTTTGATCAAAATGTTCAGTAATGGTAGCTTGGCACCATCCAGTTCTTCTGGTTTCATGGCAAAGGAGGTAGTTGTTCATGGAGGCAATTAGCCACACATTCCATTTCCTCCTACTATTCCTGACTCACCTTCTTCCTCTGTTGCTCCAGGCAAATAGAGATCAATTGTTGTAACTTGGATGGTTGCTTGCAAGCTTTTAAGACTCCAGGTACCACACAATGAACTAGGAAGTAGAACAGAGGCACTAAATACATTATTAGGCCAATTAACTGGGATTTCCCAAGAAATCATGACCCTAAACTTCCAAACCAAAGAACCATATCCCATGAGGCTTTCAGTTGTACATACACAGCCTCAGCAGCTACTCTTTTTCTTTTTTTTTGTCATTGTTGTAAATATATCTATCACATAACTTTCACCAATTCAACTTTTTACAGGTGTACAACTTATTGACAGCAATTACATTAATTGGCTGTGCAACCCTAACATTAATCAATGTGATTTTTCCATCACTGTAAACTGAAACTCAGTGCTCCATAAGCAATAACCCCCCTATTCCCCCTCCCTCCCACCCCGATAACCACTATTAAACTTTGGTGTCTATACATTTGCCTATTCTTATCTTTTTATGTAAGTGAGGTCATACAATATTTGTCCTTTTATGACTGACTTATTTCACTCAGCATAATGTCTTCAAGCTCCATCCATACTGCATCAGGTATCAAGACTTCATTTCTCTTACTAGCTGAGTAGTATTCCATTTTATGTATGTACCACAGTTTGTTTATCCAGTCTTCTGCTGATGGGCATTTAGGTTGTTTCCAAACGGTAATTTTTTTTAAAAAGATCAATCAGATTAGATCACTCCCCTGCTTAAAACTCTCAATGGTTTCTCACTGCAACAGAATAAAATACAAACTATCTATATGTAATCAAATTGACAACCGCAACTCAAAATATTAGATAGGAACCTTAGGGGGCAGTGAGTTGATGTTAATGACGGAGGAACAACTCAGAAGAGGGTGGGAATGGTTGTACAACTCATAGACTGTAATCAGTGTCACTAAATTGTACATATAGAAACTGTTGAATTGGTGTATGTTTTGCTGTGTATATTCTCAACAATAACAACAACAAAATAAATAAAGTTTAGAAAAAAAAAAAATCCGAACTCCTTATCCTGGGTAATAAGATCTGGCCCTTCCAACCACTCCAGTTTCATATCTTTCCACTTTCTCCGTATGCTCCAACCACACTGGTCTTCCTTCTGTTTTTTGTGCACATGAAGTTCACTCCTACCTCAGAGCCTTTGCAGTTGATGTTCCTTCTTCCTAAAACACTGTTTTTCCCGAGTCGTCGTTTATATCTTAACTGTCATTTTCTCAGAAAGATTTTCCCTGATTTACTTGACTAAAGTCATACACTCTACCCTCAGTCTCTGTCTTCCATATTACTCTCTTTTATGTCTTCATAGCACTTATCAGTAACTGGAATTATCTTATTTGTTTATATTTTTTATTGTCTCTTTCCTACTTCAAGAATATAAGGATACTGAGGGAGGGACTCTGGCTCTGTTTGCTGCTGCATCCCCAGTGCTTCAAACATTTTCTGGCATAAAATACTTGTAGACTATTCGTTACTACAGACCTCCAATCACTAACACCCTAACACTCCTCAATCACTAACCTTCACAAACTTCCCCTAATTACTGAACCCCACAAATTCTCAATCACCATTCTCCACAGAAAAATCAATCAGTAACATCCACATACCTCCAACACTGACCTCTACAGAATTCTCAACCACTAAACCCTTCAATCCTCCTATACTTGTGATCTGCTCAGGCTCCTAGTCACAGAACTTTAGAGGGCCTCTAAGCCTTTAATCACTAATCCCTACTAATCACTCCATCATTGAAAGCCCAGTTATATCTCCTGGACACCTCTTAATCATTGACCTGCACAAACTCACATTCACCTTTTCTCCCCAAATGACATACAGATCACCTGCAATCCCCAGACACCTCAACATTAATTACCCACCAACTCCACCAACCACTCCGTACCCATTGACCTCCAGACTCCTTTATTACCCATTGAAACACATTAATTACTGACTCTCAAAGACACTGCTAATCAGACTTCCAGAAACATCACCATCACTGAACACCAGGCCCCAATGTCTGATATTCACACATATTCCCAATCACCAAACTCCCTAATCCCCAACATTGCCCTTTTTTGATAATCCATCCTCTAACCACTGCAGGCACCCATAATTGCTGACTCCCCTTGACATCCCACATAACTCCCCAATCTCACAAAGCCCCCATTCACGATCCCCATAGCCTTCCAACCCCTGACATCTCGGTGACTTCCACAGATACCCCATCACTGCTCCACAGATCCCTCATAACACTGATTTCCGAAAACTGTAGCAATCACTGACTCTGCAGACTCCCATCATTACCCCTGTAGATCCCTAATAACACTGATCCTCCAAACCCTCCAGCATTGACTCCACCGATTTCCAAATCACAGCTCTTCGCACACTACAGCAACCTTCCAATTACTGTCCCCGGATTAAAAGACCATCTCTTACTGCCAAACCACCCCCGCCCAAATTATCACCCTCACCGCGGCCCTGCTCCCGGACTCGGACACTGCCATCTCTAGTGGACGCCAGGCCTCTTCTTCCATTCCCGGCCTCCTGAGGCTCACCGTCTCTGGCTTTGTCAGGATCGTGTTGCAGCCGGAGGCCGACAAGGCGGCCGCCAGCATGGCGGTCACGGTCACAGCCTGTCCGGCAGTGCAATGGCCGCACCCCTAGATAATCTCCCGCGGGTGCGGCCATCTTGACAATGGCTCCGCCGTACAGCGGAGATGCGGGGAGGGTGCTCTGTCCCTAAGGCTAGAGAGGTGGGAGTGGCGAGGAGGCTAGCGGGTCCTTGAGTGGTGAAATGGGACCGAGCACCAACTAGGCTCATTTATTCACAGCTGGAAGGCGGCTGTGCCTGATGCTCCATCTCTGGTGCTCAGAGTTTTTATCACTTGAAGACTACAGAAATTGGAGTTGCTTCTGCGAATACCCCCGCGCGTCGGTCAGTTGGTCGTACTGTGGGGGCTTGAGTGTTTCTGTGATGCAACACGAATAAGTCAGTGCAGCCAGCTGCCTGGAAACCGAGAATCGCAATGCCTTGCGCGGACTCCAGAGAGCTAGGATCATTAACAGAAATTAATGGGAGAAAGGAGAAACGCCTGGTCGGGCAGATACATCGTTTTATAGGGAGAGGACGTTAGTCTTTGAAACGTATGATAAATTCCCTCACTTATGGCATAAGAACAATAAGAAATATGAAGTGGCATGTTAGGTGAACACACCACTCCTCTGTGAGAGCTCAGGTTTTGGTGGTGATATTTCCACCAATAATAAAACAATTGGAGCAGTGTTCTATTTCATGAATTTCATTCATTTAACAATTATTTGTTGAGCTTTTACTATGTGTAAAATAGGTGCTGTACTATGCTGAGTGCTGGGTGTTGGAGAAATATAATTAAAAACAAAACGTGCTTCCAAACTGGAAAACCTCTCTGTAAAGGTAGAAGAGGGGGAAAAAAGTTTATTATTGAATAAGCATTAAACCAGAATACCGCGTATCACAGGCAATCCATTAAGGAGGCTGCAAAGACAGGAAAAAAATCCGACCCTTTAGATACCCAAGTAGATGTAACGCATTTCATCAAATAAAAGGACTTGATAGCACTGTTCGTCACACGTAGTTCATTCTAAATTCACCCGGTAATTGGTGTGGCCATTTGTGTTTGCTAATGGCCTTTATCAAAAGAAGTAATAAAATTTTTCATACTTCTATGACAGCTAGAGAGTTACAATTTGGAGCCAGATGCCTAACTTAAACTCCCACAGATGTGGGAGATAAGAACACTGTCTTCAATTCAACTAGAATTGAAAGGTTCCTGATTTTAATCTTGTTCTCCCATTGTCTATGATTTTAGTGTGTGTTAGCCTCCATTGTAACATCAGAATTTAGCTACTTAAAAAGGTAAAGAAGGAAAACAACAAATGCTCATTGCTAAACACACAGTTGGGCATCCAAAAAATGTAGCTTTTTGACACTCATTGTATTAAGAGGAAGTGAATGAAGCAAGACACGGGAAAGAGTGGTGTGCATGACAGCAGAAAAATATCTGAGTAGGCAGCTCAATGAAAATAGGCGATTGCAAAGCTCAATGTAATTGTACAAAGGAACACCTTTAAAAGAAAAGAGACAGGTTCAGAATTTTGTCAGTGGGTTGGGAGTACTGACTTCAATGCGGCATTATGTAAATAGTCTGTGTTTTTTTGGAGTGGTGGTCATGTAGCTTTGTATACATTTGTAAAAATGTTATCAATGTGTACTCTTAAACTGTGTGCATTGTATGTATGTGTCTTAGTTATCTAGTGCTGCCATAACAGAAATACCACAAGTGGATGGCTTTAACAAATAGAAGTTTATTCTTTCACAGTTTAGGAGACTAGAAGTCCAAATTCAGGGTGCCATCTCCAGGGGAAGGCTTTCTCTCTGTGTCGACTCTGGGGGAATGTCCTTATTATCAATCTTCCCCTAGTCTAAAAGATTTTCAGCGAGGAACCCTAGGTCCAAAGGACACACTCCACTCCTGGCTCTCCTTTCTTGGTGGTAATGAGGACCCTCTCATCTCTGCTTGGTTCTCTCTTTTATATCTCAAAAGAGATTTAATCAAGACAAAATCTAATCCTGTAGATTGTGTCCTGTCTCCTTATTATAACTACCTCTAATCCTGCCTCATTAACATCGGAGGTTAGGATTTACAACAGGTAGATAATTACATCAGATTGCAAAATGAAAACCACCACATAATACTGGAAATCATGGTTTATTCAACTTGACACACATTTTGGGGGGACAAAATTCAATCCATAACAGTATGTAGATTAAATCTCTACAAACTTGATTTAATTTATTCAAGAAAAAGAGAAAGGCTGCAAACAAGTATAATACAAATCTGGAACAACAGTTTAAAAATAACGCGTTTAGAAGAGTAACTGAGCACTTCCAAACACTGACTTCTTCAAAATGGTAACAGTATCAACAATTAAACATATTTGGCAAACCTAGAGGTTAATGGGTCTTAAGTTAAAGAACATTTGATTTTAATGTCTACCTCTAAAACCTGAAGGATCCCTTAAATATTCTAGTACGCTCATTTCTGTTAAAAAAAAAAATAGGCTCCAGATAAGTTTCTAACATCTGAAAGAACACTCAATTTCAAACGAAATGCCTAAAACGTCAACTGATCTTTCCAGTGCAGGCCAAAAAAGGAATAAATTTGTACTTGTTTGATTTTCCCCTTCCACATAAAAGGTTCCATTGATAAAAAGGAGCAAACGAGTAAAAATCCCCCAGAGTCTCAGTAGCCAAAAGAAAAGAAGTGTTTTCCTTTGGTTCTCTATGTCTAACGGTCTATTTCCTGGAAACAAAGACTCATGGCACTCGCCTAGGCTGGTGCAGGAGTGGGTGTCTCCTTGGTGCTTAACTGTGGGCTGGACGCGTGGCTTTGTGCCGTGCTGCGGGGGACTTGTCGCCCTGACGGCAAGATGCTGCCACGGGCTCTTGGTGAGTGTGGAGCGCAGAGTCCGGTTAGCCTCCACGTCAGATGGCACTGGGTCCTTGGAAGAGGTGAGTCCCCGGCTCAGATGCGGCGCCACCTAACGCAGACCCGGAGGGCGGCGGGCCGGCGGGCGGGAACTGCGCGGCAAGCGCGGCGTCCAGAGTGGCAAACGCCCAGTGCAGGGCCGCCCCCGCGTGCGCCAGCTGCCAGGTGAGCCAGGCGCGTTGCGCGGCCCCGGGCTGCGTGCCGCCGGCGGGCACCGGCAGGAAGGCACCGCCCGGAGCGCGCAGCTCGTCCAGGGCCACGTCTAGAGCGCCCATGTGGGCAAACAGCCCCGACAGCCGCCCGGGTACGGGGGCGCGCGCTTCTGGCGACAGGTGTCGGTGGCTCTTTGGCGAGTTGCGCCTCGACTTCCGGCTCTCCTCGCGGCGCTCCAAGCCAGTGGATCTCCCTCTAGGTCTGGGCTTGGTCCGCGTGTCCCGAGGGCGCTGGGTGGTGTCTGCGGAACCTGCCGAGGAGCGGTGGTGCAAGGTGTCAGTGTGACTGCGCGCACGGCGCCTCGGGACTCGTTTCCCACCTTGGCGCCGCGCTCACCCACCCTACGCTCCCGCCAATTTCTCCTCCCGCGCGCCTCTGGCGGCCGCTTCCTGGCTCTCGTCGGAAGCTGTGCCTAGCCCGATGCCCTCCTCTCTCAGCCCCTTAGGGCATCAGCGCGTGCCCCCAGGGTCAGGGGCTCCCTCCAGGCGCGCACGCCAGGAGAACAACAGCGGCTTATGCCCCGCACCCGCTCTCCTTAACCCCCCAAGCCCCAGGCACCCTGGCGCTCCACATGCCCAGCCCAGCCACCTGCCTCGTCTGCAGTCGCGGTCTGCTCTGCTGGACTCAGACGTGCGCACCCGTCTCGCCTGGGCTGGCGGTGATGGGCCCTTCCCCTCCTCTTCACGTTCTCCGTTTCTTTTGTGGTGACTGTCAGGGGAGCCATCGGGGCTTCTCTGCCGCTTGTGCCTGGCCTCCTTGGCCACCTCACTCTGCCTGGAGATAGCTGTGGGTGGAGAGATGGACAAAAGAGTGAGCGGTGCTTGCTGGCTGTCTGTGACGTTGCCGGAGAGTGGGGACATAAGCTTCCAAATGGCACCAGAAGTCAAGCCTGGGCCCATCCCCAAAATGCCCGGGGCCGTCTAGCTGCCTCTAGCCTCCAACCACAGCTGCCTAGTGCCCTCTTTTCCATGGCTCTTGATTATGCCTGAGAAGCCTGGCAGTCTCCCCCAAGCACTCCTTCAGGTCCAGACCCGGAGGATGGCTCGACTGGCAGGGACACTGACCAGACAGAGGAATCTGGCCTTGCCCTTAGTCGGCTCCCCACCCCCAGGGTTGGTGTAAACGTGGAGATGGCTTCCTCTGGACCCTCCTGCTCTACCCAGCTGCACTCCAATCTCGTGTGTTTTTCCAACGCACGCAGCCACCTCCCACTCTCAACCTCCACAAAGAAGAAACAGGAACCCTACCTGGTCTCCGCTGCGAGCCACCCTGGGTCTTGAAGGAGGCCATCTTTCTCCTTCCTTCGTAGGATCCTCGCTGGTCTCCCTTCTCTTCAAAGGTCCGGGTTGCCTTGGAGCGCATGCCTTCGTATTCCACGTGGGAGGAGTCTCCTCTCTCTGAGTTCTGACTGCCAGGGCTCAGCCGTTTGGAGCCCCTTCCACTCCAACCACGTCTCCCACCTGAGCCTCCACCCTACTGCCGTCCTGAGGAGCTGACTGAAGACTGGCCTGGTGGGCAGAGAGATTGGCTTATATAAGGCCCCCTGGGCCCCCTGCTGGGCTCTACCTTGATTGTTTACTCCAATTAAAGGAGTCCTAGTAAGTTGATTGGTTTCATCATCACACTTTAAAGAAGCTTATGATTGCATCTACAAGGGGAGGTCGTTCCTGTCTCCTTCATTTCAAACATTTGCATACTATTTTGTGAACCATACTGACTCAGTAGCATAAGAATGGCCTGTACCTACCTTAAATCACATTATTGGTGTGGGTCAGAGCCCTAACAACTAGGTTCAGTGACTCCTTTTTTACTGCTGTAGAATATGTGGGACAGTCTTTTTGTAGAAAATGTG